AGTTCTTCCTCGAGGACGGCTCGTTTAGGCGCCGACCCAAGGGGTTCAAGAACCGCCGCAATTGCGGCTTTCCATCGGTCGCCATCGGCGTCTCAAGCGGCTCCCATTTCGTCGACTTTCACCAGCCGTCGATGGTTGCTCAGCTAAACATGACAACGGCGGTCAACGTCGGCCACGTGGCACCTAAAAACGAAATCGACCAGTGCAGCACGTCTGAGTCGTTCTCGTCGGCCGGTGTTGTGGACCACGGACCCGCACAAACGGCGACCAACGGCAGTGATTACTATTTCAGTCCTTGGATGGCCTCGACGACGTACGCTCCGCCGCCCGACCCGTTCTCCTACCACCACCAACCGTACCATCAGCAACTGCTGTTCGAACAGTCCCAGTCTTCTCACCAGCAGCCGTCGCCGGTGTCCGTCGTTCCCCTTCCAGAGGCTCAGACACGCTACAGTATGACGACTTACTCGACCAGCCCTCGCTACCAGACGTTCGGCCTTTGAACCCGTCGTTCGCGATGCAGTATCTCCTCAGTTCCAGCCAAGAATCTCAGCGTAGAAGCACGTGCTTCGGATTGAATACAGTTGTTGCTCCTCGCCGCCAGTGTCGGTACGGTACGTAAGCCTTCTGGACACGGTACCATCGCTGTACGATTGTCTCGCGGTTTCTACTTGTGCGTACATCACTCATGGCTGCGTATAAATATTCCGATGTTAATCAATCGCTAGTAGTAAACTGTCAATAGGAATTTAACTGTGTCCTTGGTCAGTCTGTTTTGTACACAGCATTTTTGCGTTCTCCTCCAGTGGCTCTTGGACAACGAATTTAGTCATACAGTAATGTACGGAATTACTGTGTCGTTTCGATTTCAAAATTACCGCTGATCCTCTGAACAACCCTCAAATCTCACTGGCCGATGATCAAGCGACTAAGAAACGATTCATATGATTTTGTTTACGTTGTTCGCGGTTTGTAAACTTATTCTAAGTCTTGACAATTCACCGAACGCGTCGCTTCTTCAGATTAGCACGAAATTGGGCTCCCTTTAAAGAGCCACGACTTCATCGTATTACAGCACCTGCAATGCACTGACGCAAAGCCTGTCACCGTGCTGGGCCGTAAAAACCGCGCCGAACGTCCGTTAACATACCAACTATAATGTTATGCTGACCAATGGTATCCGGAATTGCCTTTTTCTAGTAAACCCAGAATATCACGGGGGCATTTTCCGTTAACCATCGTAAAACAGATCAGTAACTTTGAGTGTTTGCATAGAAGTAAAGGAGTTAGAAGAAACCCTCAGTGAAAGCATGCACTGTGGTTTGGATTTTCAGTCTTCTCCAGTACCCTGGTGTATGCCTTGCTTAATTAACATTTCACATTTGACTTAATGCTTTTTCTCTATAGCCTTGGTC